AATGCTTACATCTGTAAATTAGGTGATGTTTTTTCTACACTTTGCCTGTAACCAACAGAAACCGTTTACTTTGTTTGACTGGTCTGATCACTATTTTTATAAGCTTTCTTTTAAATGACAAACTCCGCCAGTAGAACCTAAGGGGCTACTGCCGGTCCCAAGCCCGGATAAAGGAGGAGGGTTGGACATGGGGTTGGCGACCCCATTCCGTCGAAATCACACTTGCCAAAAAAACGCTAACCAGAAAAAAATAATTCAAACCATTTTAACTCTGCCCTGGGAGTTGGAAGAAGATTTATGACATCTCGTGATGAGAGCCGAGTTCCCTCGGAAGTCATGGGGTCGATGCCTCTTCTGACAACCAGAGCAACCATTTTTTTACGTACATGGAACGTTTGTACATTGTGGGAGACTGGAAGACTATTTCAAGCTGAGGCAGAAATGAAAAGATACAACCTCGAGGTGCTCGGCATCAGTGACTGTGTCACGAGACAAGCCCTCACATGGAACCCTCAAGGCAAAAGGAAAAGAGGAAGGCCAAGGAACACACTACGCCGAGAAATAGAGAAAGATATGAGAGGAATGAACAAACATTGGACAGAACTGGAGAGGGAATTAAATGACAATGTACTGCATCTCATTATTGTCAGTAAGTAAAAAAAGTGTTCCTAATTCACATGTATCAAGATAGTTTTATCGATTGACGAGACTTCTGATAGGATGTAAAATTTTAGTTAACCATCTAGCAATCAAGTCAAAGCCGGTATCGAACGTAGTAGAATACGGGTCTTATGGAGTCAGCATAGTCTCGATATAGTGGAACCCAATGGTCGGAGATTTTCATAGACAGGTGATAATAGTCTCATCGTTTATTTTCCTTAAGATTTTAGTTAACATCTGTTCACAAAGATGCGAATGAAAAAGTGGAACAGGTGTTAACTAAAATCATAAGGAAGTTTAATGATATACAATCCTGTAATCAATGTGTGCTGGTTCATTCTTCTCTCAAAGATTCACAGCTGGACTACAATATTCAAAGGTATTAATTATTTCAAATAATTCACATCGCTTTAAAGTCTATTGTATGAATGAGGCATTTAAAGACTAGGGACTTACGTGTGACAATGGACGATGGTTTTATTGCACAGTGAAATGACTTGAATTACAGAACATAACTTACCATGTAATTTCGATGCTCATACAGTTTGAGTTATCATACGTTTAATTTAAAACGTTGGTTTTAATTTTTTGATGTAGTTTCACAAAGATATAAATTTCAGTGGTTTTAGCTGATGAATTATAAACTATCAGATGAACAAAACATTGCCTAACACATGGTCTGAAATATAGATTTTTACTTTCAATAAATGTTATACCATAACCAGTATCTCATGTTTTATTCATTGATTGATTTTGCCTTCTTGAATAATGTTTACATCTTATTGATTTTTCGAATAACTCTAATTAAATAGGAGACTAATCTTGAAACCGCATCATTTAAGCATTTGACTCTATGGAAATCAGGAGATGAAATATAGATACACCTGATTTTCTAGAATTTTCAGATTTCGGTAACACAGAAATTGGTTCACTTTAATATTTTATGACATTTGTATACTAGCCGTTGTGATTGTTTTAATTTGCATCAATGTTACATAAAGTGTACATTAGTTGAAAGTTATTACCATCATTGTTTCCAGGCTTTGGGCAGCTACAGAGAAACTGCGAAACCGATAAATTAATATTTATTATTTATTTATTACTTTTGTTTAGTTCAAAATATCATTCTCAAAAATCTCAATCATTGAAATTTAAACTGTTTCAATAAGCTCTAACGATTTTCAAACCAAACATTCATTTAATAATTTTCAAAAGTTAATTTTAGCTATAAATCAATCATTTAGATTTCAGTCACTGAACTATTTAATAATGTAATTTTATATTTAATTTTTAAATAGATTTTCAATGTCTAATTTCTGTGAAATTATTTGTTCATATCTTGACAATGGTTCAGATCAACTTCACTATCAGTTTATGTTTACAACGACTGCTTTATTATGATCAGTTGTTACATGAAGAAATAACAACCTGGTTGTAACAATCCTTGTTATAACAGCTTCGCTACTTTTAGACACAAATAATCAGAACAAACAGTTCCAGTAATAGATAGGATTTATAGTGATGAAATATCAGAAGCAAATAACACTGATTCACTTACTACTGTTTATGTATTACTATTTTAGACGATGATTCGATCAATACAAATCGAATATAACTAATGTTTGCTGAAGAATTTCAAGTATTTAAAGCCTTCTATCATGAACTGTAATTTCGGAAATAATTAATTTATGTTTACCGATTAAATTGTACCATTTAATTTAGTTAAAATAATTGGTCCGTAAATCGAATAAGACACAATGAATGATGAATATTGATTGAACTACTATATTTACGCGTTAATACAATTTTCATTGAGGTTAGATAACAATCGCTTGTATAAATATATATATATATATATATATATATATATATATATATATATATATATAGATGTTTTTCTATTAAGATGGAGAAATAAAGGTGTGTAGGCCTAAATAGGACAGAGAAGAAGAATGTGATCGAATGTACAGCATAAAACCATTCAATACTTCCTGATGTATATATGAAAAACACACCAGGAGATCATATTTTCCACTAAAAATTTTCTATCTACATTGTTAATCTTTTCAGTGCATCTATGGTACCTTCATAAAAACATAGTAATGCAATTATGAGGATGCATGATTTATGTTATGACTTTTGTGTTCGTTACCGTTTTAATTACGATAATGATCGAAAAAGTGCATTTTTCTTACAATCCTAATATTACATTGCATTGATGATTGGTTGATCAATCGACTTTAATTAGTACAGTTAATAATTATGGAGAAATTTTGAAATATCTCATTTTAAATAATTTTTTCTAGTGATTGTTGAAACTGACAAAAATTATTTTTGGTCTATGAGATAATTGAATTGACACACATCAACTGATTATTAAAAAATAACAATCTTACGCATAGAATGAGTAGTTTTCTTTGTCTAACCTGACAAGAAATCAGTCATAGGTCAGAATGAAGTTTACACTGAAGACTATTTTCTTAAGCTTTATAATAATCCAATCAGAAAATAAGATCCGATTAATTGTCCTAGTAAAATATATGAGACACAATGAGTATCATTTTGTACAATTGAACAATTCAGTAATTGTCTTAATAAGTGAAATAAACACTTTATTTCGAATAATTTAATCGCATTTGCAACACATGCAAGTCTGTACAAGATGATGCAGAAGATTAGTAGCTCGACTGGATGATTTCGGTGCAGTTTCATCCTCTGAGCTAGACAGGTTGATATTGATCTCTTGAACAACAATAACACAAACTTCATCCTAGAAGTTTACAAGTTCAGTGTTTACTAATTTACATAGACACGTCAAAATACATAAGCTGACATGACAGTAAGAAATCTAATATTTCCGTCAGAGTACTTAACGATGTATGGATTCGTTGTTTAATCGATAACAGTCATGTCACTTGCACTTTGAATTGGTGTTAATAAGTATTGAACGAAAAGATCAATATTAAGTTACATTTAATTGATGTAGTTGGTGCTTGATGTCTCAGACCAAAGCTAGAAATTTAGAAGAAATAAGTTAGTAAATCTAACACCAGTTAGAATGTCTGTCGTTGACTTTATCAACAATTGGTAAATTGTTTTTGTTTGCCACTTTTCAATTATCCTATTATTTTTACCCAGTTATTTGTTATTTCATTCATTTCAAGCAGATAAATTCTTTCTAAACATGAAACTAATTTTAAGACCTTATATTTTAGCTTCAAGAAGTAAACTGTTATTAATTTAATGGGTAAACGAATTCAACTTCGCTAACACATAGTGATCATCTTAAGAATATGGATATCGTGTTGTTCTGTCAGTAGTAAGTCGCGTTTTCTAGAAAATAAACTTTTTAATGTTCAAAACATGTGTGTCATCTGCTTCATTTTTAGTTTTAATCAAAGTTTTGTTCACTATTATCCTGTGTGCGAAGGCGGAATACTGTAACTAAATCCTTGCATAAAAGTTAGTAACACTAGTATTTGATATGTCTTCTTGAATCATATCTTTGGTGACTGGTCACTTTTGTAATCAATAATACTGTTACTGCTACTACTACTACTCTGATATTTGCCCTGACCATTTGATTTGTTTGTGCTAATGGAGTATGACAACTCGAACCAATGTACACATTTACCAAGTTTTGAGTGAGGAGCATTACGAATGAATACTTTCAACTTAATCTAACCAAATAACCCTAAATGAAGGAAGAATATTCATATTGTTCACGTAATAGTCTACAAAATCACAGGTTATACTTGCATATCTCCAAATAAGTTGCATCTGTAGGGAAACAGAGCTACAATAGAAAATATCATTGATTTATAAACATCTACTCGTTATAGGTCTGAGAGAAACTATTACTTATTTTCACACCGTTTGTCATAAATCTTCAGAGTCAATTACCATTCACTTTGGATAATTTATTACTGCCATTTCACAGATTAGAAGACAGTTTACAATCATTTTTCTAAGTAATCGAACAACTACATGATTTAAATTGATCAGTCATTAGCTAATTCATACTGTCTCGATACGTTCAACATGAACTTGTTATCAAAATCTATTGTTGTCTAACTCATCATCTCAAAATTCACTGAAATGAAAACAATAATACAAATGAAATGAATTCTAACAATTAATATCTTAACTTTAGTCATTATGCCATGTCAGTTCTATTTAACTTATTCTTAACATTATATCCGGTTTGTGGCAAATAAGTAATTATAATTGGCAGTTAGAATTTTGCGCCAACTAAGCATTACGAAAACCTTGTCTATTGAATAACGGATAACTAATTATGAAATTATTCAAAATCAATAACAAACAAAACCGTTACTTACTTTCGTTGTGGAGAAGTTTTTGTGATATCCATTGGTAAAATATAAGTCTGTGGTAATAATTTATTGAATTACATCAGTGTTTAAAGTGAATAATGGTCCATATCAAACATGTAAATTTATTCTCTGTCGAGTTATTACGGAACATGGACAAATAAACCATTTGAAAATTGATCGTATGCATATGTATTTGTGTAAAATAATCTATGATCAATTCTGACGTAGTTATCTTATTAAATTACACACCATATTGAGCTAATATTAAACCGAATAAGGAATACCATAAGAGATATAATCTTTCATTTAGTAAAACAAAAAAATCAATGTAAGCAATTTTAATTGATAACAAAACTTTTTTCACATAGATTAGACCAGTTCATACCTATATTTGTATATATGAAATTTTTTCGATATGCATATGTCTGTCTATTTCCGTAGAATCATTGTATTTTGCTTATTTCACCTTTATACAATATGGCAAACACATTGAATTTGTAGTCCCACACAATATGTATCCCTACTGGATGAAATATAAATATTTGGGAGAAATCACATATACTATTGATTAGTTTTGTGAATCTATGTTTACATTGTTGGTGCGTTTAATTTTCGCCACTTATGTTGTTGCACATATATTGATGCTTACACGTGGTTGGTCAATTTACAGTCAGATTATCAAGGCTTTCCTGACCATTGATATTAAGCTTATTTGAATATGATTCATAAACAGTGAATTACGTAAGTGAATACAATTGGATGCACTAACAACAACACTGCAGTCTTTGTTACACTGTCTATTGTTTTTGTGTAATGAAGATTAAAAATGTCTGTTGTATCATATTCCTAGTGTGATTATAAAAACTAATAAACAGACAGATACTTTCTAAGCCTCTTCATTTGTTTTTTTTTCTGTTGACTTAACTGTTTGAATTAACTTATTTTTTTTCCCTAACTGTGAATTATATTAATCGATATACTATGATTATTGTTCAGATTGTGTAGTGAAACAAAAACACCGACTACCACATTTGTATATAATTAATTAGACAGCATGTTTATGATTAATATCATCATTCTGATGAACTGCATATAGGATGAATAGATAAATAAGTTAAAAGTACATCCCTGTGTAGGTTTTATATTTGTGTTTTTTTTAATGAATAGAAAAATTCATTTTATACTGAATATTTTGATAAGTCAACTGAACGTAATGCTTATTTCAATCTCTGTGTAGATAGCTAATTCAGTATTCTGTAACTGATCACTTGTTTCTTTCACTAATAATAGTCATCTTTTCAAACTATTCATTTATTTGGGAATATTTCATTAGCGATTATAAATATATAATGCCAAAATTATTTTTGGTTTACATAAGAAACTAACATTTACTATTTAAAAGCCAATAGGTTGAGAAGAAAACCAACATCACTGGCTAGAAAAGTAACAGAAATTTAGGCGACTAAACAATTTGGAAACAATCTAGCTCAGATCAGTCCGTGATTTCAACAATGAAAATAATACAATCTACAGTAATTCCGTTTTCTAATAAATTATGATGTATTCAAATTTCATATAACACGTAATCGAATTCTAGTGAATACTTGACTCTGAAATTAAATATTTTTATGATTCCTTGAAAATGAATCCACTGAAAATCATTCCTCGGCTAAATAAGATTGTTTTATGTTTAATTTCCAACAAATGTAAGTTATTCATTTTAATTGAGGAAGTTGTAGTGGAAAACGCGATTGGTGGAAAAGAACATTTATTATTGTACTCCTTTTGTTTAACTGTACCAAGCACACTTACTCACGCGCAACTTTCTTTTTTGAGTTGCTGGCATCACTCATAACTTGCTGCTCGTTGCATCGCCCACTTTCTCTTTCAAATAAATTCTTTACCCGTCTAATCGTGACGAGACAGTAATTAGTATTTAGTGGTGATCTTAGTCAGTCTCGACTCGGTCACCACTAAAATGTAATGAAAGAAATCTCATTGAGTTGTTGAAGAAAAGAAGCTAATTCAGTGAAGAAAATTTCCTTTATAACCATATAGTTTGCTAAAGCTGTATAACCAGATTTATAGTTATTTACGATACAGGTCTGTCTTATATTCATCTGACTATAAATTCTCAGTCATGCTTTATTTCTTGGAGTTGGCTCACTGGCCTCCACTCCACTTCACTTTATTCACCGATTCGCTTGCTTGCTTGCTCTGTGGCGCACGCATGACGATGTTATCTTTGAGTGCTTGTAGTCTGCTGATCCATTTTGTGGTGTGCCAAAATAAATGTATTCAATACTTTGAGTTCACCTTCTGATTTTCAAACCGTCAGACGCTATTTAGTAGCGATTGTCTGGACAAGCTAATTACGTAGCCCAAGAACACGTTGGATACCAACCGTCTCAAAACTAGTGACACGTTGGCCACCACAACACTTTGAAGACTGTCATGCTATCCATTCAGTTACCGAGTCCAGATGACAACTGGCCTATGCAGTAGAGTGTAGATTAATTCATTTTTGTAGGTGGATTGAATCTGCTCATTTATAGTTAAGACTACAACTGATTAGTTTCATTTGACATATATGCATCTAATGCGGATTACCTCGATCATACTGCTAACCACAATTTAGTCCTACATGTGCGACTTAATGGTAATATCAAGACAATCAGCATAGGATGAATGTTTGCCAAAAGCGATTGATCATTTGCAGTCATAACCATGAATATGAAGATTTAAACACCCAATACGAATGTATATTTTAGTTTGTTTACCAAAAAAGTATGATTAGGTCTTAAATCAAAACAATTTTTGAAACCTGTTTATACATATGAATATTAACGTAAGCTGTTTTTTGCATCATGAACAGACGTCAGCTTAGTAAAATCAATCTGAACTGCTAATACCCTACAGTCTTTGGTCCCTCAACGTTAATGTTATCTAACCTTGAAAGTGATTGAACCTGGAAGCATTAGATACTGCCTCAAACCTGATGCATATTGACCGCTGAGTGATAATCCAGAGGTTGGTATTTTTCAAATCGATTAATCTTCGATTCTGATTAGTTATTTACTGATGCCAGCCTTAAGATCAGTATATACATGAAAACCTAACTGCTTTTACACAAACAAAAAGGTTTTCAAAGTAATATCAGATTGTTATTCTGTTGATTAGTTTGAATCAACCGAGTGACTGATTAGTTACATACATTCCTACTTGTACATGAATGCGTGTATGTCTGTAGTAAATCTTCATCTAGCATGTGTTTAATGTATACGTTGATTATCACTTTATTCAATGTTGTCGGGTAGCCTACAATTTCATAAATCACATAGCTTTACCTTTCTTACAGTTTGTCAGCTTATTTGTTCGTACTTAAGATGTACATAGCTTCAGCACACTTGTATGCTACTCATGATATCGATTCGATGAAAGAGGACTGTACAGGAGTCTAATCACAATCAATCTTTCGTTATGTTCACTGCCACCGATGCAAGTTAAAAGTGTCACCTGCTCATGATCGGAATTAATCTGTCATTGACTTTATTCATCTGACGTATGTTCTCTTTGATATAATACTATAATACATTATCGTTTTCAATTCGATCTTTAGGATTTACTCTAATTCACAGAGATATTTGAACAGACATGTGAAAATATTATTATCTTTGCGTCATTAGTTCTATCAATTAACTGATTGACTGACTGTCAGTTCGTATTATCAGTAAGCCTAATTCTGTCAGTGACTAATCTGAATTATCCTGTCACGCTATTCAGATAATACAGCTACTTTAGTGACTTCACATAGCAAACAGAATCTTAGCAAAACAATATAGGGAATTATAAGAACAAACTGGATAAGTTATAAGAAGCACTTTAAATGAACCATAATAAATCATGTTTTGGTCAGCAGGAAAATAACGTCTGACTATTGAATGATTCATAATAGAACAGTGTTACTTTCCTAACTGATGAACAGTTCCAACATGAATAATAAACTCCTATATTATTCATTGGCGTTTTCATCACTAACTGATATCAACTGTGATGCAAGAATGAATTTCCCGACCAAATCTGATTTCTTTGTCCATACGCTCGACTTCTGCCGAGAAGTATAAAGTAAGCTGCAGGTATCCGTTCATGCCGTGCAGTTGAGTGGTAGGAATTATTCATTATTAACAATACTTTGGAAATCTTTCAACACTAAATTATTGGACATCTAATTCAGAAATAGTTCAGATTGACAGACGATTTAGCTACAATTCATCGAAATTTCAATGGCCAAATTCTATACGCCCAGCAATCACTTATCAGAACTAGTGAGAAAATAAATTAGGCTTCCTCGACATCACATATTCTTTAGGTAGAAGGGTTTGTAGGAAGAGCTCCTCTGAGTTTCAGTACACACACTCTTTTAGTTTTAAATACATTCGTTAGAAAGAAATTTGGTCGGATATCCTGTCAGAAGATAAGAGCAGTCTGTTTTGATGACAACGAAAAAGAGTTGGATAGTACGAATAACATGCTAATGAGAATAGGCTATCCGTAAACTTTTTAAGAAGTACTTATTTACGATCGATCTTTTACGGAAAACAGTACTGGGGTTAACGTGCCAAGTTCTCCACTCAACTTGGCATGCCACACCAGACTGGTACGTATCCAGAATCTGAAGATGGAGTTCGTCGGGGTTCCGACCAGAAATCTCCGCAGATGTAGGACGAATCCACGTTCAGCTGAGAAAGCAGATGCGACCATAATAACCAACTCCGGGATCATATGTGTGCCAGACGTAGTCGGAACCAGAAAATTGACTGAGCGCATTGAAAAGGGCGTGAGTGATCAAACCAGATGTTTCCAAGTTTGACTGAGATCGACTGTACCAAACAGGCAACGGTCGTAATTTATATTCAAAAAAATGAAATCGATGTAGCAGATGTGTAGTAAGGGATACAGCCCTACACCCTAAAGGTTGCTTGGCTAGACACAAAAGTGTGCAGGTACATGAATCTGATGACCGGAACGTGAGATAGTAGTCTCGTTTGTTCATCGTCGTTGGGAGCTTAAGGCTACAATCTCATCTGAATTTTAGGGCGGTGTGGTCTGCCAGTCTGAACGTGAGATTGAAGTCACATACGTA